GCACCTCGGATTTCGAGAAATAAGCATTCCGTTCACAAGGAAACTGCCAGCTACGGAGTGGAGCAAAACGGGCGGAAGTGGGAAGATCTGCAACACTCCCGCGGAAGCGCCTGGACGAGGCCAAGTTTTACCCACGTAGATCCCGCTGGGTGGTGGCCTGGCTCACGCAGCGCCACACTATCCAGCATGAAATCTGCCGACTACCCATCCCCCAGGGACCTACAGAAACTATGGCTCAACTGGCCTCTACTAGATCCTATTCCGATTCGGGGATTCCCACCACGAAGGAAGTTGCTTCCGGTTCGAGAATTAGTCAGTTCTTCCCAGCGTCGTGTTTGCCCGGTGGCCAATGTGAGGTTCGGATGTGTAAGATGCGTGTAAAAGAAACGCGCGAGTCGACCTCGGCGAACCCGGCGGCCCTCCCACTTTCCACGTACTTTTTCGTCTGAACTCTTTGATGCGGCGTGCCTGGGCGGTGCCTGGGCTGGCGTCATCACTGTTGTGAAGTATTCTGTTCTTCTACTTCTAGACGCACCCTTCTCACATCGAGATGGATCTCTCTTCTAATGGCTGGCCACGTTTTCGTCTTCTGGTGAGTGGTCTGAGAGATTAGCTATTTGGAGATTTGTTGAGATCTTTGAAGATTTGACGATACTGCAATGCATTATTGATAGCGTCGATTATTGGAAGAAACTTCTAGCCAAATTCTATCCCTTTTCCAAACACTGACGTCCCTGAGGAGAGAATGAATCTAGTATGCCAAAATTCCGGGAGGTGTATGAGGTTCTGGAACCGCCCGTTGTTCGGAATTTACACCCCCTCCGGGCGAGCACGGGTAAAAACTTCAGAAAGCCTCACTGAATTCTAGGACGTGAAGATACTGGTTGGGGAGGGGGGGGGGGGCGTGAAGTAAAGAAGACTTTTCTCCCACTGGAGATGGTGTGGTGTACGTCAGCGGGAATGCCGGGCATAGCAGGAGCGGCGTGCCATCTTCTCGTTCTTCTTCCCTTTTGACTTCCTGTTGAATGCCGCGCGGAGTTGGGGTGACATGTGTCCCGTTCCTGTGGGTGTGTGTAGATTGAGAGTTTCCGAAATCCAGAATAACCCAGAATGGTGGTAGATGCCTCGGAGTTCCGAGGTTCGGTTCCACCTCCTTGGTTTCCGTTTCCCTTCTTCTCTAATCCAGTTCATCTGCGCGAATTCGAAATGTCTGCCGAATTTTCCCCAGAAGAGCGGATGGCGTGCGATGTTTCATGGAAGTTTGAGAGACGCCCGAGATGGGATTTCTGCTGCCCCGTTCTCTTTCTTTTCCGGATTCGGAAATACGGGTCCGCCGTTGAGAACCCCCCACACGGCTTCCGCACATTGTTTGCGGTCCGGGGTCCCGGGCCCGGGTAGGTGGGATGGGGAAATGGGGCAGAGGAAAAAAGAGGACAAGCTTTGATGATTTGAAATGTTGTCTGCGGATAATATGGCCAGGCTTGTCGGGTTGATTCTGTACCCCGGCGGAGATCTCGGAGAGTTCTAGTTTCTTCTTGACGAACGGCTTCGATGAGGGATGATCCGCCTGTAATTTACGGCATTTATCTTCTCTCAGTTTTTTTTTCCTTTTTTTTTTAAAGCACCGAAGAAACCTCAGTGAATTTTCCTTCGAAACGGGCTTCTGGATTCAGCGAGCTCCTGGGTTTGAAAGTATGTGGTCGGGTTTGAGGACGGGAAACTCTTGAGTGACGAGATTGGATTACTTACAGTATTGGCGAGTGCCATGTTCATCCGCTTGTCTTGACTTGCCGCCGCTCAACGCTCAGCGCCATCTCGTTTCTTTTTGATGACAGAAGCGTGCTGAATCCCGGACTTTCCTTTGCTTTTATTCCGTCAACAGTCGACTGCGATTGACCTAAGAACTCTCAGAGCGACGCGGCCTTAAATCAAGACGCTGTGAAGGTGGTAAATAGCGGAATGCATCCTGCTACTCATACAGTTTACTAAATAGAGCTACCGCGAAGAGTCGTATTCTATAACAGATCTGATCTTATTATTATACTTTTAATACTGGCAGTAAGAGGATTGAGAAGCTTGGTATCATTCGCATACCGTGTTACCCACGGTTGATGAGCATCATCGGCTTCTTCATCTTAATCGTAAGCCTCGTATCCGCACCGTGTGGTCTACAACCTCTGTTCCTTCAACATTCTGCTTCTACTCGCCCATCAAACGAGGCTATTCCTTCTTGTAGCAACTGTCTTCCCGTATATAGATGCTTCAGAGATTGGGGTCTCCACTGCAGGTCTGGTTGTTGCAGAGAACGGTGGATAACCGGTACTTCTCATCAGCGCATGATTTAAGTAGGTTTGAAGATGATCAACGATAGTCTCTTGCTCTCTAACCACCGCACGCCACTGATAGCAGCTATTCCTCCTCCATTTAGAATTTATCGCCACTCTTCGTGGGCGGCAGTTCGCCTTGCGCCTGTCCCGACCCGTGCATCTAAGGAACCTTATATATTCCATCCCAAAGCCTGGTACTATGCACTCCGAGTCTATTCAGCTCTGTAACCGCATGTCGCGAAGCCAAACACAACAGTAAGCAAGGGTTATCAACGGCCCATTTGTCTCAGCTCACGTGGGGCGAAGAACTTGATGTTTTCCCACCCAGTAATGGACTGCTTTGACACAGTCAGAACATTCGAGTCAACACATTTGCTGCTGATGGTATCAAGAAACAAGAAACAAGATAATAGTTATTTATCAATACTGGCAGCACGTTAATGAGTACTGATAGGCAGGTGCTTGAGAGGAGCCTGCTCAGGCCGAGGTCCCGCAAGCCGAAAAACCGCAGTCTCGGCGGTTCCCCTTTGACGTTCCATTCCGTAAAAGGGGATCCCGGCAGGGACGGAACGGCAAGATGACCTACCCCGACAATCCGTGCCCGCTCGCCAAGAAGGGTAATCCAACGACAGTTTTGTTAGTCTATTACTAGAAAGCCGCAATTTAACTGCCTAGTTGTAGATTGCTCGGAAGACGCGGATGTTTTTGGCTGCTTTTCGCTCCCAGCTATATCTGTCTATGTTGATGTCTAGACAGGTCTTAAGACACCCACAACGCAAACCCTGAGAGAAGCACGCATGGCATTGTGTCATCTCACTAACAAACCCAATCGGGAACAATCACATTGGCAAGGATCAAATCCCAACAGTAGCGGTCAAGGAAACTCCTGCCGTCTACACTCCCTCGGCCGAGACGGGGTCACTCGTGATTCGGGAGGATGAAAGTGCGAGGGAGCGAAACTATTTGCTGGAATATCCTTACACGGGAAAAACACGCTATACGCGCAAGTGAAGCCGTTAGCGCAGGTCCATTGTGCCCTATGGTAGGTAACTGCCTTCTCGAAACCCTGGCGCTTCCTGCAGGCACGCTCATGCGGGATTCATGCGGTTGAAGATGAATAGTGGGACACACGCGAACAGCAATCAGCCCAGCGGTTGACTAGCCGAGATGGAGGGTGGTAGCGAGGGGGCCATCGGCGGGATGTCTGGTACTCTGTGATGGGCAGACTGAAGGCAGGGGAGAAGCGGATGTCGAACGGGTGGGTTCATCGATACGCGGCTGGATTACGTCTCACTGCTGTAACTATTGGATAGTTACGTCTTTGTTGAGAAGACACGGACTGGTGAACCCAAAGTATTGTGAGCTTTCAGAACAAGAACCGGCTCAAATCACCTTGGTTCCCCAGGAGTCCTCCAACCTCCCACAACGGGGCCCCGCATTCAGCCGAAGAATCCGCTCCGAGGTCGCCGGGGGAAATCACGCTTGTGGCACGGACTCGGAGCCAATTAGAAGGTCGATGCCCCTCCATCCCTCCTTCGGTAGCCGGTTCAGGCGCCCCTTGCTTGCGCGTGCCCACTGTCCACATCAGAACAATTGGGGGCGGTGGAGGGAGGGGGAGGGGCAGCTGGGAGGAGACAACTGAGTGCCCCGCCATCCCACTAGGTCGGGTTCCTGGGTGACGACGCAGCTTTTGGACACATTTATGGATAGCTTTTTGCGCGGAACGATACCGTTAAAAGATCCAGGTAGTAAAATGAATGTGGTTTGGATTTTCAGTCCGGGTGACACAAAGCTTGAGAGGCTCCCTCCCCATGGTTCACTTGGACAGTCTTACCTCGTCATAAAGTTGTGTCCCGGGTGTACCAAAGCGGCATGGCATGTGAAAACCTACCACAAAAAAGAGACCATCCGCCATGCAGTTCATCGGATGTGTACACAGGCAACACAGGAACACAAGAGGACAGATAAAGAAAGAGATAGAGGCAAGATAAGCCTAATGCATAACCTTCTGCAGAGCTTATCTGCATCACAGACACTTGGCCTCGTACAGCCTCTCACAAACATCACACCAGTTGATTTGCCTGCTCATCTGTCTACGTGATCCCGCGCCAGGCGAGCCGTTTATCTCACACCATAAGGTATCCTGCGCTTTATCCCGCATCCCAAGACGGCTCATCCATGCAGACCTACCCAACGTAATCCCTCTCCAACCCGAAAAAAACGCGCCGTTCCCGTAACCGTTTAACCAAAGGCTGAGGTGCTCCTGTCACCCACAGATAGCTCCACCAGAGCTGTCCCTAGGTGGCCTGTCATTGTTCAACCCCGTCCGTCCGCCCGTCTCACCGCCCCTCCCAACAACGGACGACGTAGCGCCAGGCGGCCCCCATTCCTCATCCTTCCGCCGGCGTCCCGGATAGCTCCTTGGCCTAATCTAAGCACCGCAGGTAGCTTTAGACGAACCATCTTGTATCTCCCGCAGCCTACCGAGCTATATACCTACCGTACCTTACCCACGTCTCCCGAACCCCTTCTCTTCTCTTCTCTTCTTCTTTCTCTCTTCATCCCATAACCACAAATCACAGAGAATAGTCTCACCAGGATCCCAAAGCTTTCAACCAAAAACCACCACCTACACCAAAACCCTCACCAATCGTCTGATCGCGCTTACGAGTCGCGATCAACCCCGTCGTCAAGACGTTTTCCAACCTCCTCAACTCGTAAGTATAGCCTCATCTCACTCAATCACTCAACATCAGGTTTCACTGTCCACGTTACAATCTCATAAACCACTTCCACGAAACATTTGCTAACTACAATGTCTAGGGTCCATCACCCGTACGCAGGAGCCCGCTGCTCAGCCGCCCCCGGGGCTTCAGCGGACTCGGCCTTTGATCTCTAAAGGCCCTTCTCTTCAACGAGAACAAAATCAAACTACCGCCTGAACACTGAACAACAATCTACCTCTCTATCACATTACCATGGCTCCCCATGCAGAGGCAGACTCGGGCTCCGCGCACGGAGATGGACCAACCAACGGCAACGGCGCCGTGACTACTAACCTTGCCCACCACCCCCAGCACGACCGCGAGCTCTTCACCGTCGACTCCCCCAACGTCGTCTACAATGACAACGAGATCCTCTCAAAGTACACCTACCGCACCACAAAGGTCACCCGAGACGCCGCCACCGGCAAGTACGTCGCCAAGCCCACCACCACGCTCTACGAGTTCAAGACGGACCGCAAGGTCCCCAAGGTCGGCATGATGCTCGTCGGCTGGGGCGGCAACAACGGCACCACCGTCACCGCCGGCATCCTCGCCAACCGCCGCGGCCTCGAGTGGGATACCCGCGAGGGGCCCCGCGCCGCAAACTACTACGGCTCCGTCATCATGGGGTCCACCGTCAAGCTGGGCACCGACGCCGAGACGGCAAAGGACGTCAATATCCCCTTTCACGACCTGCTTCCCATGGTCCATCCCAACGATCTGGCCATTGGCGGTTGGGATATTAGCAAGATGAGCTTGGCCGACGCCATGGACCGCGCCCAGGTGCTGGAGCCGACGTTGAAGATGCAGGTCAAGAAGGAGATGGCTGAGATGGTCCCGCTTCCCAGTATCTACTACCCTGACTTCATCGCTGCCAACCAGGAGGACAGGGCCGATAATCTGATCCCCGGAAGCAAGGCCTCCATGGCTCACGTTGAGCAAATTCGCAAGGACATTCGGTAAGAATTTTCTCTATGGGCTATCAAGTGACATTTTTGGTTGCTGGTGGTGGTGGTGGTGTTGGTGCTGACTGTAAGAATAGCGACTTCAAGGAGGCAAACGGTCTCGACAAGGTCATTGTGCAGTGGACCGCAAACACGGAGCGATACGCCGACATCATCCCGGGCGTCAACGACACCGCCGAAAACCTGCTCAAGGCTATTGAAGAGGGTCACGAGGAGGTCTCGCCCTCGACCGTCTTCTCCGTCGCCTGCACGCTTGAGGGCGTTCCCTTCATCAACGGCTCCCCGCAGAACACCTTCGTCCCCGGCGCCATTGAGCTAGCCGAGAAGCACGGGTCTTTCATCGGCGGCGACGACTTCAAGTCGGGTCAGACCAAGATGAAGTCGGCACTTGTCGACTTCCTCATCAACGCTGGTATCAAGCTGACTTCTATTGCGAGTTACAACCACCTGGGCAACAACGACGGCAAGAACCTCAGCTCGCACAAGCAGTTCCGGTCCAAGGAAATTAGCAAGTCCAACGTGGTGGACGATATGGTCGAGGCCAACACGGTGTTGTACAAGGAGGGCGAGCACCCTGACCACACCGTCGTCATCAAGTACATGCCGGCCGTGGGCGACAACAAGCGCGCTCTCGACGAGTACTACGCCGAGATCTTCATGGGCGGTCACCAGACCATCTCGCTCTTTAACGTGTGCGAAGACTCGCTGCTGGCATCGCCGCTCATCATCGATCTCGTGCTCGTAGCCGAAATGATGACGCGCATCCAGTGGAAGGCTTCTTCGTCGGATGGTGTCGCGACCAAGGACTTCAAGGGCTTCCACAGCGTGCTGAGCATCTTGAGCTACATGCTCAAGGCGCCTCTGACCCCGCCGGGGACCCCCGTCATCAACGCGTTGAGCAAGCAACGTGCCGCGCTGACTAACATCTTCCGCGCTTGTGTCGGCTTGGAGCCCGAGTCTGAGATGACGCTCGAACACAAGCTGTTCTGATGCGTTGCCGGACTGCGGATGAATATTCCATTCTTTGCCATGCCACCTGGCCCTCCTTTGAATTGTTGCTTTGCTTTTTTCCAACTTGGGGGTTCGATAACAACACGATTACCTCATCCGATCACTGAAAGTTGCGTTGATGATTTGAGATAGTACCTATATTATTACAAAAAATACAGTCAGTCTTTACCGCAATGCCGTAGGCGTCCCACATGTCAGAGTTTTGGCATTTCGTATCGTGAAGCTATTTGGGAAGCAGCCACGCAAGCTCTCATAACTTGAACCTTAGAAGTGCCGCTCTCGAAAGCGAAAAGCGAAAAGCTTAAGCTTGCTGGAAGCATGGACGTGTGCTGTCGCTGTCAAGAGTCGAGACGAGTTTGTACCTAGAGGTGGTGTCAAGCTGGGTGTTGATTGGTCGTTGAGGGAAAAGACGAGGCTGTTAACCGTACAGCATTGAAGCAGATGGGACGACGGCCAATCAGTGCGCTGAAAATGCTCTCAATGGCTTTGGCCCAGACACGCCGCTCGTTTATCTTGGGAGCATCGGATAATATCAGTCGACATGTCAACTGCGCGGGCCTCTTTTTAGTGACAGGCGAGAAAGGACGGACCCAGGCCAGGGCCCTGGTGGCTGGAGAAGAAAATATCTGGAGCTTCTGGAGATGCTGAAGAATGTTTCGAGCCGGGGTGGCTGGAATGACATTCCGATAATTCGTATCCAGCTGCCAACAGCCCTGTCCTCTGCTCGTTATGTTCTCCGCAGTCAAGCGAGGGAGAATGACGAACGTCGATAGACGAGAGGAAAAAGGGGGGAAACTCGGTGGGAATTCTGCGAGGCGTTCCGTGTCGGTAAACAGAGGCGCAATTGCATGCTGTCCAATGGTGAAGGTCTGAGGGACTAGGTGGGGCGCGGGGATATCCCCAAAGCTAAATTCCAGCCCCGAGTAAGACGTAACGGTGCAGGAGCAGGGGAACAAAGGGGACTCCGTACTTTCTGTAAAAGACATGATTTGATTGGGTCAGAGGCAGGAGCTGACCTTGTTAGCTGCCCCTGGAGGCCTGTGGAGGGACCAAATGGCGACCACTCGCGACGGCCCTAGTTGATGCTGAGTGCTCCGCTGTGCCTGATCTGCCAAATGGTTGCCGGGGTGTTGCTGGTGATGAAATTGCCCAGCTTTAATCAAGCATAACGTAGCAATAGAACCGTAAGTAGGCGGGTGAGACGGCTGCTTTGGGTGGGAAGAAACCACACTGAGAAGCGCAGAGAGAGAGAGAGAGAGAGAGAAGAAAGAGAGAGAGGAAGAAAAAGTACGAGGTGGGAGGCCGGCGGGCGGGAAGATGCAAGGGAACCGGGGAACGGACAGCGGGCAACCTTACTCATCCCTCCGGAAGGTACCTTACCTTCCTCTGTCTTTCTCTGAAGAAGGTGGGAAAGACCTACCTCATGGAAGGGACACACCTAATTACCTATTGAGTGAAGAAAAAAAAAAGATACATCTTCATTTGCCAAGACGGGCCATTTTGACGCAGGCGCGTGTGTCGTCTGCCAAGTACCTTATTTTGCCTTTCAGACAGCCTGCCTTCGCCCAAACCAGCATTTAATCTGCGTTTCCTGATTTCTCCCTCTATTACCCCTTGGGCGACAACGTTATTATTTCTCGTAACCTTTCCTTTTCCTTTCTCTCTTCCCTCCTTCCAGTTGAAACATCACGTCAAACCTCGTTCACGACTGTTTTCGCATCATCGACAGGCGCCACGGCCGCCACGACCACAGATAGACTTGCGACAATGTTGTTTTCTACACTTGGGCGCGCTGCCCTTGCTGCTGGTTAGTGTCCTAGCTGCTTATTTGCGCGTTTCCCCATTGGCGACCAAGTCCAGCAACGAGGATTGGCGTCATCCTTCAGTTTCAATTCAACAGAGATTCCTTCTTTTAGAGGCACAGACGTACATATTGATTAGACACTGGACAATTCATCGCCATCCTCGTCAATCTAGCAGGAACCCCACACTGACATGGACTTTTCTCGTAGCCGCATTTGCGACATGCTCGTTTGCACAAAGCTCAAAAGACGATGATCTCGGCCAATCCACCTTTGTCGCCCCGGAAAACAATGTCGCCTTTGGCTTCACCGTCCCCGAAAACAGCGGCGAGGACATATTCTTCACGATGCGGGCCCCCATCGACCGCACATGGGCCGCCATTGGCATCGGCCAGGATCGAATGGCCGGTAGCTTGATCTTCATGATCTATCGCGACGAGACGGGCAACAATGTCACCTTCTCACCTCGCATAGCTTACGGAAACTACGAGCCGACGTACTACAACAATATGCAGTGGGACGTTCTTGCCGGGACGGGTGTGTTCAACAATTCCATGTACTTCAGTGCGCGATGCACTGCCCACTGCAGGAGCTGGGTGGGAGGATGGATCGATGTCTCGAACGAGAACCAAAAGGCCATTTATGCTGTTGGGCCCAAAGGAAGCTTCTTCTCGAATAAGCAGGACACGTCTGTCAAGTTCCACGAGGAGTTTGGCCGCTTCACACTCAACATGAAGCGCACAGTTGGCCCCGGCGACGCGCCCGTGCTCAAGGACAGCTCCGTCAATGAGGGCACAACGCAAGTCTCTGCCAACGATGGCCGGAGAGACTACAAGTCCATCTTCCATGCGGTTCTGATGGTGGGCTCCTTGGTTTTCCTCATTCCTTTCGGTGCCATCCTCCTTCGCTTTGGAAACATGGTCAGGTGGCACGCCCTCAACCAAGGTGTTGCTTTGGTTATCGTTCTCATTGGTTTCGTGCTCGGTGTTCTAACCAGCTTCTGGTACTCACGTGTAAGTCTCCGTAAGCTTGGATTGAAGAGGTGTCGATGCTAATGTAGACAATAGTCTCGTGGTTTCAAGTCAGCACATCAGATCATCGGCTTCATCGTGGTTGGCTTCCTCTTGGGTCAATTCGCCATTGGCTTTCTGCATCACCAAAAGTACAAGAAGACGCAGCGCGATACACCATACAAGGTTGTTCACCAGTGGCTCGGTCGCATCACGATTGCTCTTGGCACGTTCAACGCATTCTTGTAGGTCAAAAGTCCTTCAATAATCCTTACAATATGCTAATATGTGCAGGGGCTTCTCATTCGCCTTGAACCGCCGATTCAATTACTTCCTCGCTGCATTC